GGTTAATGAAAGTGTTCTAAAACGTGACATTAATTTCTTGATGACCTATGACTATCAGATATTAGATTTATATATATATATATATATTTAATACTAATTAATTTTTGATTCTGAAAAAAAAGGATACAAAAAAAGTTCCTTGAATGTGCTGTTTTTACTAGTTGTTTTAAACCCCACTTAAAGATGCATGAGAACAAGGTACAAAAAGGCTTATTAATAGGTTATCATAGGATAGTTTTCTTTGTACATTTGTTTATCCGAAAAGGCTTAAAGCTTGTAATGGTCTATATTTATTCATACTTAACTTTATTGTTTTATTGCCCTTTAAACTGTGTCTAACTAATAATCCTGCCACACAAGTTGTAAATCATTCTGCAAACAAGTAGCTCGTGTTACCATATTGAATGATGAAATGATGGAGCTGCTCATGGGCATACATCATGAAGAAGTTTTATTATTATTATTGTTTTTCTTTATTTTACTTAATCTAAAATTATCTAACCTAATAAGGTTTAAAGTTTTACATTTTTGGTAATTTTATAATAATAAATATGGAATATACTTGAAAAACAAGAGATATAGTACTTATCTTTGACCTTGTTTTTTTGCTGTCAGTTACTAATGAAATTTAAGCCTCTTTTTTATAGTTATCGTAATAGTACACTAAATAATTTTTGTTTACTTAAATAATGCAACTAAGAACACAGAATAATAACATGCACAAAGCAAACAATGCCTTCTAACTATTGTAATTTAATTGGCTTTCTAACTAAGACAAGAAGGTCTTAAATTAATTCCTTTTGCTCCTTGATTTGAACACCATGAGACAAACTTTCAAACTGAAGATGAAATTGACAATACTCTGTACTGAAAACAATGTAGCATTGTATGTCTTTTGATAGATTAAGACTTTACCTTTCTGTTGATTATAAACGATGTAGTATAACACCCTCAGAGAGAATTATTGGTAATTTGTGAAAGAGTAGATGTGACAGGTGGGTGTAAGAAGTGGGTCTAATTTTCTCGTATATGATTCTGTAGACAAATAAACCTGAAGTCTATAAAAATTAGACTTTGCTTTAGCAATATCTATATTATGATAAGTAATTATGTTAAATTCTGTATTTCAGAGAGGGGAGGTAAATAAATTACAGAAGTGGGAAGACATAGAATACAATTGTCATAATTCTCATACTAGGAGATATTGGGGATTGTTAAAAATATTTCCTTATAAAATTAAGAGCTTAAAACTTGTATTAAATTTTGAATGTAACTGTAAAAGGTTGTGACATGCACTTTTTGACCTACCTTTAGCAAGAGGGTTAATGCAATGAGCAGTTGGTAATTTTAAGGCTGTATTGAGTTTGCCTTCAATTCTGTATGTTGTATGCATGAAATATGTTTTCATACTAAGTAAAAGCAGAAACCTTTTAGCTGTGCCTGGCTAACATTACAGAAGTTGTGATGATGCGGCTCACATGCACTCCTGTTACTGTATCAAATAACATGAAACTTTGGTCTGTGCAAAGAAACTTGTCTTGGTTGTGTTTTAGTAGACTAGTATTTTGTAAAATACAGTCAAATTTCAATTAGTATATAGATTATTGCTATTTTGAAATAAGCTCTTAAACTTATTTTTCTTAAAACATAGAACAGTAACTAAAGAAGTAAAGCAAACAATTATCTCATCTAGTTATGACCCTTGTATTCAGTTGCTGCTTGACGTAGATTGCTAAGCGTTTAAAAAAAATTGCGCGTGGAGGATATGAAACAAAATGTTTTTGTTTAGGTTTTATATACATATACAGTTGAATAACTAAAAAATCATAAATTACTACATTAATACTATAGAATTTATCTAGCTTAGTAACTAAGATGTATTTTAGTCTAAAAAAATATGAAATTTCGAGCAGACTAAAGACACACCCTACCTCATTGAAATATTGGTTTAAAAGAAAGAAATGGTGCCAAGTCTGTTAAACGGCTTAGAAAGTCACTAGGGGGACATTCTGAGCTTCCGATTGGTTATTTATGTCATATATAGAAGTAAGTGTATATAAGGGAGCTTTTCAAAAATGGAAAGAGGTGGGTGGGGTGCCACTGTTTGATTCATTACATGAGCAATATCTTACCAAATTGAAAAAGTAAGAGGCTCTTATTTTATATTCTAGCTTATCAATATCGTTAATTGGAGTTTCTAATTCGTTCAAAGCTATAGACTTGGTATTTTGACTTCACAAACATCTAGTTTGAACTAGTGCTGCATTCAACATACCACGTGATACACAAAAAATCAAAGTTTATCTGTGTTTTTTAATATTTACTTTTAAATTAAGAAATTAAATAATATATAGTACTAAAATTTGAATTATGATCTACAGTTTGATACCAAACTTATTGACATAAATTCATGAAATTAGTAGTTCAATAAAATTTTAAATGCGAGTCACAAACGAGATGACATGGCATTTCACCCGTGACTCATCTCAAAAGGACTGATTTTTGTAGTAGTTTCTGGAATTATACCAGATTGATCAACCCAAAGCTCTAATGATCATTCCTTGAACCCTTTATACTTTTATACAAATTGACAAACAAATATCAATATTTAAAGTAAACTTAACCAAGTTCATACAAATAGGGCAGCTTTGGTTTTACCTTGACAGATATTTATAATTCATGATTAGTGCTTTAAATGAGACTATTGCTTAAAAGTTCGTAAAATATTTCCTTGTGATATACCTTGTAATATGCAAGAAATATGTCTTTCTAATGCATTGTACCTGTTTGTAAAAACTAAAAAATTAAATATTCTTTGTAGCTAACAATAAAGATTTTACCTCTCATTGTGTCAATAAACATCCTTTTTTGTGTTTTTTACTCTCAATATATAGTAGCATAGTGTTCCTGAAAAGAAATTATGTAAAATAATTTTGAGAAAGTCTGTAATACAGAGGTCTTACTTTAGCAATTCTTAAAAACTGTTGAAACTTTTCTGATATTCTTATTTGCCGCAGTGAATTTATTTCACATACTTTTAGTGTAGCATAAGTAGTTTTGAGTTTATTTGAGTTTACTTTGTTATCATGCAAGTCTTCAATGTATATTTGCCCATGATCTTTCTGTAAATGCATAGCCTGTGCCAGTATTTAATATATTGAAGTTAATTCAGCCTAGAGTAATTTACATCCAAAATTTAAAATTACTTATTTTTTCATCTCGTTAATCTATAATAATATTTAGTGCAATCATTTAAAATTAAATATTTCTTTCTGTTGATTTATAAATACTTATATTTTGATTTGTTTCCTTATTGGTTAATGCAAAATTATAGATTTAAGTTTTTGATCTTTTAGAACCGGTGCATACATTCATTGTGAATGATTCTTTCACATCTAAACTTCATAGAGTAAAGATTCAAGCAGGTGAGTGACATTATTGTTCTGTTTTAGGATCTGTAGGTTCAAATGATATTAATATTTGTGACTAAGAATGGTCTAGTATGATGATTGGATAAAAATAGTTTGTGTCTGAAGATAAGGCCAAGATAACCTGCATTTATGTATTGATATATATTATGCTTTTGCTTGTTAACCGTATTACTGTTTTTTATAACTAATTTTTCATTAAATTGTTCAACTATGTGTCTTGGTTTGAATTTTTTTTTTTTTCAGTTGCAGCAAAAGGTGAGTCAGAACCTGAAAGAAAAGAGACAAGGTGTAAAGTTGATGAAGACAGAAAACATGAATATCCTTTCTGTTCATTCATTTATTTCATTTGTAGAATGTTGGGTTATCTTGTTAATACCAGGCTGAGTATCACAAATTCTATAAGCATAAGGTCACAAACTGTTTCGAATCTATTTTCCTGGTTCTTTGGGTAAAGGCTTTGTCAGGAAACTTAACTTTTTAATGGTATATATCATAATTTACATATGTGGGTGTGTTGGGCTAAGGATTCTTCTACAGTATGTATCTGTGACTTGTTGTCAATAAATTATAAAAACAACAAATGATCAGCATGCACTCTACTTGTTTTCAAAATATAATATATATATATATATATATATATTTGGAACAAGTTAAACCTATGTACAAAAATTCCT